TACTGGGAATTAAACCTAGAGACACTCTACCACTTTACCCTAGTCCTTTTTATTTTGAGACAGGGTCTAAGTTGCTAAAGCTGGCCTCAAATTTGCAATCCTTCTGCTTCAGTCTCCTGAGTCACTGGGATTACAGGCATGCACYACTGTGCCCAGTTTGGAAKGTGTTCTTAACATTATTAGAAAAGTTCTTGGTTTTACTATTTCACAGAAGTTTTGCAGTAAATTGAGGTACAATTCCCTTTGAAACCATCCAATTGAACACAAATCATGTCCCCAAGCACCTCCGCATTATTTTGTCCATGGCTTACTCCTGCTAGGGCTTAAAAGAGCTAGCTGGGCATGGAAGAGTGTACCTATAGCCCTAGTTACTTCCAAGGCTGAGTCCAGGCTAGCCTGCRCAAGAGTGGGATTCTGTCTCAATCCAGTTTAGTTATATCTTACTTGCTGGGTGCAGAGGTGTATGCCTGTGTCCAGCAACTTGGGAAGCTAAGGCAGAAGGATCATCACCTCAAGGCAACTTAGTGGGACCCAACCTCATAAAATAATAAGGGCTGGGGATGTGGCTCAGTGGTAAAATAGCCCTGGGTTCAATCCCCAGCACCACCTCCCACCCACCCCCAAAAGCAAAGCTAACCAATTAATAATGAAAGAGTCAGGCTGGCCTAGGGAGAACTAGGGATTCTGCCTCTTATCAGCCCTGTGACTCTGGACAAGTTATTTTGCTTCCCTAAGCATGGGTCTCTCATTTATGAAACTGGTTTAATGGGTGTGCTTATAATTCATAAAACCATTGTTGTAACACTTAGTACAAGCTGGGTGTGTTGGCATGTACCTATAACCCCAGGGGCTTGGCAGACTGAGGCAGGAGGATCACAAGTTCAAAGCCAGTCTCAGTGAGATCCTGTCTCTAAATATAAAATGGGCTAGGGATGTGGCTCAGTGGTTAAGCACCCCTGGGTTCAATCTCTGGTACAAAAACAAAAAGAAACAGACAAAACTACTTGGTATAGAGCTTGATGCAAATTAAGTCCCTCAAAAATGTTACATATTAATATACTAATTTGAAGAAAAGTTACAATTATTATTTGGATAAATTCACATTCCTCTGTGAGATGAGAATTTTCCATGTTGCCACTGTTGTGGCAGTGGTTTCTCTAGCCCCAAGGACTTCCTAATTACCAACAGCTGACCCAAGTCCCTCTTCCCACCTTTCCACCAAGGTTCTCTCCAAGGTCAAAGGACAGAGACAAAGGCATGGGTTTAGAGAAACATCGTTTAATGGTACAGCTCAGCACACTCCAGCACCAGTGGAGTCGAAGCAGCAGGGACCCGTGGGTGACCCCCACGGAGCCTCACATGGCGAAGAGGATGAGGAAGGCGACCATCAAACAGAAGAGCCAATGGCCTTAAAAGGCATAGGAGAAGAGCTGTTGCTTGAGAGACGGGTTCCTGCCAGGGACAGACATAGATGCCAACCCAGGGAGAGGAAAAAAATGAGTGTGGGTAGGGGTAGAGGGCACAGGAAGGTGAGGTGAAGAGTGTGCTATGACTGGGAGGGCCTAGCCTGCAGGGATCTCAGGAATTTGGTAGGCAAGTAAAGCAACAATTTGGAGAGTCCAAGTCAACCTGGCTGGACACATATTTAGATTCTGGTTTAGAGGTCACTGGAAAAAGTGGGAAGTAGATGAAATCAAACTGAGGGCTCCAGTAGGGAGCACCCCTTACTGAAGATTTGCCTAAACAGGGTGAAACTTACAGTGGGAGATGCTTTGGGCCACCTCAAACTTACCTGGCATAGCCAATGATCAAGCTGCCAAACACAGTTCCAATGCCAGCCCCTGATCCGGCTACACCAACTGTGGCAGCCCCAGCACCAATGAACTTGGCTGCTGTGTCAATGTCCCGGGAGACAACACTGGTCTGGAACTCCCGTCTGGCCACCTGGAGTGGGGAGCTGCTGCTGTAGGAAGTCTAGAAGGAAGAGAAAGAAAGGAAAGTATGGCATTGGGACAGATGGCTGAATTCTACTCCACACCCCACCCACCTAAGCTCTGAAACTGCTGGCAAACTGACAAGTACAGAATCCTGAATGCAGAAAGTACACTGGGAATTGGCCTTAGGGTCTGTATTCAGATAGGGCCAGTGAAGTTTTGTGGTTAAGCACACCTCATTGTTCCAAGTTTCTAACCTACAATGCTCATTTTTGGTGCAACAGAACTATTAAGAGCATCATAGTCCTTTAATTGTCCTCCTTAGGCCTAAAAGCAAACCAAACGGAAAGAACTCTCCTGGGGAGATCTCTAAAAGGGGCCTTATTTCCTTACCTGTTTAGATGAGTCCTCTAGTCTATTCAGGAAGGAGGCAGACACAGGCCTGATCAGACCCCTACTACAGCGGATCTGTAAAATCAGAAAGACATATGTCTCCAAATCAGGCAAGAAAAAAAAAATCTTCATTGATGAGCTTCTCTAAACATGACTACAAAGTCATAAACAGATAAAATCCAATGTACTTCAAGGTCAAGTAATTTATTCCTGTTTCTACCAGGCAAGCCCACACCAGAGCTGCCCCAGAGCCTGGTGTAGTTGGCAGTGGCAACTATCACAATTTTGAACCATGTACTAGGCTAAGGTGCAGCTCAGTCGTATGACACATGGTTAGCATGTACAGGGTTCTGGGTTCCATCCCCAGCACTAAAACTCAAACCAAAACACTACAATACATGTGCCAAAGTTCACTTCTATATGTACAACCTCAGTTTCCCAGAATATAATAAGAATGCACACTTATATCAAACCAGGTCCAAGAAGGGTTTGTACCCAGATCACCAAAGGAATCAGAGGAAGAAAATTTGTCAAAATCTACCCATTGCTACCACTTCCAATGGTGTGGCACCTGGAACAGCCATCTAAGGAGAACAGTCTGTAACACCACTTCTTAAAAAATCTTGGTTCAGACTTGGCTGAACATTGAAATCACCTGGGAAGTTCTAAAAAATAATCCTGGGTTTCTACCCCCCTCCCAGAGTCTGTGCAATTGGTCTAAGGTGCAGTCTGGGCATTAAGATTTTTAAAAGCCCCCAGGAGATTCTAATGCGCAAAGTGAAGAATTATTAATTAGTGGACTGTCTGGCTATGGCTATGGCTGAGCCAGACTGAGGGTAAAGGTCGGATCTAAACTCTCAGAGGACACTTCAAAGCCAAGATAGCTTGGTTTACAGGCCCAAATAAACAGGGGTTACCTGTTTCACATCCTACAGCCTCCCCAAGGGGCCAACATCATCAGAACGCCATGCTCCTCAGTCCATTCATTAAACACCGATGACTCCCACACCACACATGGCACTACAGGGCACCCCGGAGCCGCAGCTTACCAGAGCCGGAGAAATGAGCAGTGCCCCGGTGGTCTGCATTTTTTCAGTCTGCATAGATTAAAAAAAAAAAAAAAAAAAAAGGAAAAATTGAGAGCCAGGTCGTTTGGATATAGCGGCGGCCTTCTTGTGTCTCCTTCACCTCCCACCCCGTCTTCTCTGTACCCTCTCTTCCATGCACCGTGCCCCAGCTGAGGGCATTAGAGGTCAGAAGGCTGATTCCGGGTCCACCACTTTTTGCACAGCGGCTTTGCAGAGAGAAAGTGAGGGAGCACCGAAAAAAATAAAAGATCAGGCCCCAAGAGAGAAATGTTGCGAAAGGGGACTGTCTCCCGGGAAGACTGGAGGCGGAAACTGGGCAGATGCCGAACAAGGTCCTGCTTGCCCATGTTACACAGATGTCTCCTCACCCCACCAGTGGCCGTTTATCGCTCATTACCGTTGGTAATTAACATTAATTGACAAAGCTATAGATCCCCCATCGTCTCTCCCAGCCCTGGGGACAAATACCTCTCCTTATGGTCAAGCCTACAACCCTACAGATCGCTCGACTCCCGGCCCCAAGTCACCTGCACTCCCACTGCCCTACGGCCTCTGCTTGGCCCACAGCGCTCGCCCTGCTCAAGGTGACTGACTCACCTCTCTGCTTTAGCCCTTGGGCTCAGCGCTCAGCTCCCCCACCCACGTGTCCCGGGGTCCCTCCGCGTTCATTGGTCGCAATCCCCCGTATTCCCATTGGTTGACGTCATCGACTTYCCCTTTCTTATTGGTTTTCTGAAGCTTCGTCCTCTCTCTCCACAGGAGCTTCGTGGCAATTCCCGCCTCTATGCGGGTAAAGGCGGGGCTTTCCCTTTAGATCTGGGTTACGATTGGTCGATCCCCGAAACGCTCGACCATAGAGTCGGCGGGACTCGGAGTTTCCAGAACCTCTCGCACAAAATGGCGACCAAGATGGAAGCTGAAGAAAAAGGCGTGGGAGAGATGACCGGACGCCTGACGCAGAGAACACGTGACCTTGGTTCCGAGCCTTCATTTGGTCGCTCGGGCCTCACGTCGCGTTTTATATCGGCACTTGTAGTCAGGCCGGAGACCCCCKAGGAGTACTGAAATCCCGCGAGATGTTGCTCCCGATACATGGAGAGCCGACGCCTTTGCAGCAATTCCCACTCTAGCGATTTGTGAAAACCTCTGTTTCCGCTTTGGGGACTGAAGGCAGTCTGTAAAGTTCCGCGGTGGTGAGCGCACCTTTGTGGGCCTCTGCAGTTATGGACTAACAAACCGAGATTTTTTTTTTCCCAAATAAATGAAGCTTATATTGTAAAACCAGCTTTCTAGGAATAAARCCACCCCGGTAGAAAGATGAGAGCAAAGGAGTAATCGGCAATCCACTAAAGAAGAAATATATATTGCAGGAAAGAACGTTCAGCCTTACTAATCAAAGAAATAAACGCACCGTTTCTCATTTTATCAAAAGAGCAGATTTTGAAAGGGGATATCCAAATTATAGTGTTATATTATATGCATGTGCAAATATGTAACAATGAATTCCACTATAATATTCATAATGTGCCAATTTTTTAAAAATGGGAAAAAAGCAGTTTTGTTTTAAATTCCTGTGAGCCAGGCACTCTCCCAAACTGCTGGTGAATTATGAATTAGCAATGTTTCCTTGAAAGCAGTTTGGCAATGTTTATTTTTATTTGAAAAACTTTGAATGGGCTATCCTCTTTGACCCAGCATTTCTTGAATAATTGAGAGCCTTTAAGCACTCCATTCTCTTTGACCCAGTAATATCACTTCTAGGAACATATCCTGAAGAAATAATCAGAAGCACAAAGATTCTATTAAAAGAATGAACACTGCAGAGGTTATCAAAAATGAAAACAGCCGAGTGAAGTGTTGCATGCCTCTAATACCAGCAACTGAGGAGGCTGAGGCAGGAGGATCTGAAATTCGAGGCTGGACTTGGCAATTTAGCGACATCCTCTCTCGAAATAAAAAATAGAAAGAAATGGGGATATAACTCAATAGTAAAGTGCCCTGGGTTCAATCTCTAGTACAAAAAAAAAAAAAAAAAAAAAGAAAGAAAGAAAAAGAAAAGAAACACAATTCATGCCTTAATTTATTTATTTAAATTTTTTTTTTTTTTAATTTGGTACTGGTGTTGAACTCAGGGA